GCCCCGCGTCCCATCATCCACGCGTCCACTCCCTCCCAGCACCTTCTCCCTCCACCCCGCAGCCCCGCGTCCCATCATCCACACGTCCACTCCCTTCCAGCACCTTCTCCCTCCACCCCGCATCCCCACTTCCCATCATCCGCACGTCCACTCCCTCCCAGCACCTTCTCCCTCCACCCCACAGCCCCGCATCCCATCATCCACTCGTCCACTCCCTCTCAGCACCTCTCCGTCCACCCCGCAGCCCCGTGTCCCATCATCCACCCGTCCACTCCCTCCCAGCACCTCCTCCCCCGACCCCGCAGCCCCGCGTCCCATCATCCACGCTGGGACAGGCATTCTGGGTAGACGCTCACTGTGGGACCTCAGCCTGACCAAAGACTCTCAAAACCTTGCCCCTCTGAGTCCCATCTTTAGCAGAGCTTTGTCAATAAGACTCTCAGTCTAGTCCCAGGATGGCCTGAGGCACTGGACACGTGCAGCTGTTTCAGGTGCAGTGGCCTGAGTGTAAAGCACAGTCTCCGTTTGAGGAAGCCGCTGGTGTTCCCCAGACTCCTGGCAGCCGGGGGCCAGCTGTGCTGGGGGAGGATGGGGAGGGCTGGGGGGCAGGAGGGACCAGGCAGGGCCAGGAGGGGCTTGGGGAGCCAGGAGAGTTGGGGAGTTCAAGGGTCAGAGGAGAAGCCTGGAAGGGCTGGGGGTCCAGAAGCGGCCTGGGAACCTGGGGGTGCTACAGGGCCAGTAAGAGTTGCGGGTAGAGAGGGGTTGGGGGGAGAATGGGAGGGGCTGGGAGGCAGAAAAGACCCAGGAGGACCAGGGGGTGCCAGGAGGGACCAAAGGGAGCCAGAGGGGTCAGGAGGACCAGGCAGGGCTGAGGGCACAGGAGGGGCTGGGCAGGACCTGGGAGAGGGATGTGGGAGTGCAAGGTGGGACCTGGCGGGGCCAAGGGGAGCCTGGGGGCTGTAGGGGTGGTCAGGCGGTGCCAGGAGGGGGCAAAGTCGGACCCTCAGTCCCCAGGCCGCCAGCAGCCTCAGGCAGGCCCTGTGCTTGTTTTGAGTTTCACATTTTGGTGAGAAACGGCCTGTTTGGGTTCCTCCTCTGGAAAGTGCACACGGAGAGACTCCGAGGCCCTCAGCATGGAGATGGACTTGGCCTGGCCCTGGGGCAGGGCTGGGAACCGGAAGGTTAGAACTGAGGAATTTCAAGAGCCCAGCCCTGTCACAGCCTGGGGTGGTGGGAGTGGGGGCACCCTTGTTCCCCAAATCCGGTCAGAACCACAGAAGAAACCAAGACAGAGGAGGGGGCCACCTGACCCCTGCGTGGAGGCCAGTGGAGGCCGCTCAGAAGAATCCAGGCGGGAAACGCCCAGCTGTGTCCTCGTGCCAGTCCCAGCCCACTGAGGGCTGTGTCCTCTGGCCCCTCACTGGCCCCTCACTGCCCTGGTGTCATCCTGAGGAAGTTTTTGTCCCCGGCCTGCCAGTCGGATGGGAGGTGGCCATGAGGAAGCTGACAGTGCCTGGGGCAGACCACAGGGTCCCAGGGAAAGAGGCAGGGAGTCCAGGGTCTGCTTCCTGGTAGGGAGGTGCCCAGAGAGCCCCCTTGGCCTGGGGACTGCGGGGAGCCAGGTTCCACGGGGACACCCAGCTCAGCCCTTTATACCCCAGGGAGCTGGTCCCTTCCCTCTCTGTGTCCCAGGGCCAGGCAGATGCACAGGGGCGTGAGATGGGAGCAGAGCTGGGCCAGGGCCCATGGGTCCAGCTGACAGCCTCTTGCCTAAGCCCTGGGTGGTGCTGTGCACAGCCCATGCCACGGGCGAGGAGCCTCGGACTCCAGTGGGCAGAAGACCCTGCTGTGGACCCACAGAGGCACGACTCCCAGCCCAGTGCTCCTCTGTCCCAGGGAAGCCAGCGCCACCGCAGACCTTCAGGGCAGCTGTCCTGGCTGGGCGACACTGAGGAGGGGGCTCACGGAGACCCCCACCCTCTGTACACCATCCTCACCTTCTATAAGCACAGGATGGAACTGGCCAGGAAGAAACGCTTGGGGACAGGAGCAAGAGTAGTGTGTGGTGCATGCCAAGGCTACATTAACCAAGGCCAAACACCCAGACCATGGGAGGTGACTGTCCTTCTGAGCTGTGCAGGTGTTCCATATATCAGAAAGAACAGGGACAAATGGAGGTGGATGCAGGAGCTGCATTTCAAAGGCTAAAGAGATGGTAAGTCTGGCCCGGATGTGGGGGCTGGTGGGTGTGGTTGGGGTCTTCCCGTGCGTGGCTCCCTGGCTGCACCTCCCTCCAGTCACACTGGCCTCTGGTCTCCGGCACAGGGCTTGGCACAGGTTGCCCCCCTACCTAGAAGACACTTTCCTCCTAGCTTGTTGTTCCAGCTCACCGTCACCGTCACGGCCTCGGCTCCTGAGAGCCTGGCCTGGCCATGCACTTTGCAGCACTCATCCTCTGCTCAGCGCCTTGTGGGCTCCCTTCCTGACACATCCCGGTGCAGGGCTCTGCACACACGTGGAGCTGTCTGTCTACTTCACGCATGTGCTGTGGGGCTGCAGTCTAGGCCTCTTGGGTTCATGGTTGTGCCCCAACTCCTAGCTCAGGGTTCGTGAATGTTTGCTAGTGAATAAACAAACAGCTCCCACCCTGCTCAATCAAGGACGGAAGGAATTTGAAGAAAAGGCTTTTCTCTTCTTCCCCAGGAGGCAGACCAGGGGCCAATGGACAGCAGATTCCAAGAGTCCTACTTCAGCTGGGTGCAAAGGGCAGGTGTCAGCCAAGGAGGCCTCTCTGGACGGGTGCTGCTACACTAGGCCCAACCAGTCAGCAGTGCGGGGGAGGGTCTCATCTGTGGTCAGTTTGCACTCAGGGACCTGGTGGTTGCTCTCAAATCTGCCGCTCTCCCGCTTCCATCTGTGGGAGGGAGGGATAAATGTGGGATTCCTGGGATTCTCCATCCTCCAGGAGCCACCATGGGCCATCCCCTCACTCCTGTGACATTTGGTGGAGGAGCCTCTGCCCAGCTTCTGCGAGAAGGGGCGCCCTGAAGTCTCGGGAAAAGGAGGTCAGGGCCCAGGTGCCACCCAGCCTGGGAACTTTCGTCCCAAGCACAGTCATTTGCACACAGTCATTTGCACGCCGCTGAACGTCCGCCCAGCAGCACCTCCCTACTTTGTTAATGGAAGCCCGGTGATCCATAACCTGCGTGTGGCAGACATCTGCTCGGGGGTAATGCGGTGGTAATGTACATATCGATGATCAATCAGCGGATTTGCAAGAAAGGCATAAAGTATTTAATTATAATTGTGTGGGGCAAGTCTGCGTGGTGGCGGCGACATTTGAGTAGGTCACAGCCAGCCCTCACCCTGTTATATTAAATGCCATTCACTCCAAGGGCTGGGAACCTTTCTGAAGTTGCAGGGTATCACACACTGGCAAATTGAAAATGTCCCTTTGCTTTTAAAAATATGACTGATACCCTTTGCAAAACAAATGCTACACCTCATCGTACACAGATTTCCCCCAGTGCCGCCCTTGCCTCTCCCGGGCATAGAGTCTGCATTTGGCCACGAATACATTCTCAGAGGGGATAAGCTATAAAGACCTTGACTTATTCTGAGGCCCCCCCAGGAGTGTCCTGTTTAGGAAAAGGGGTTTTGTTGTTGTTTCAAGTCAGGCTTTGCTTACCAGAACAAAGTGCAGGAACTCAAAAGATAAAATGTAAATTTTATTTCCTCTGTTGGCAGCAGAAAAATATATCTTCGGATACTTTCTTTGCCATATACTTACGTATGGGAGCATCTGCCTCTTATGACCGTCTAAATTACATCTTGTATGATTTAAATCTAGGCTTTTAGCACAACCAGCAAAGGGATATAAATAACAAGAGTGCAGACAGACACAGGCACACACCACAATACACACGCACACACACGTGTACACACCATGCTGATAGCCTGTACAAGCCAGCATGGAGAGGGTGAGGAGCCAAACTGGAGCTGCATGCCTGCGATGCATGGTCCCATCCGTGAAACGAGCGTGAGAGCCGCAGCACCCATCTCCTGGGATCCTACACCTGGTGGGCGGTGGGAGCGCCGGAAATGCTGGCTGCTCTCCCAGCAGAGAGTTCTGGAAACCAGAAGCTGACATTTGCAAAGGAGAGGTGTCCACATTGCAAGCCTCATTTCCACTTCCAGGAACAGGCATTTGAAGCTGGGCTCCGGCTCCTTCTCCCTGGGCGAAGGGTGCCCTTGTTGGCAGAGGCTGCGGTTGTCTGAGCCAGGAGGCTGGGGAGTGGGCGTATCTCCACGGGGCCAGGCATTCACAGCATCTGTCAGCAATGGCCTTCCTCCCTCTTCTCAAAACAATGAACCAAACACATCAAATCTATTTACAGGGCAGGTGAGTGGGGGAATGCTTGGATTTTTCCGAACAGAGATGAAGCCAGGGCCAAGCATCTTTTGCATGTTCTGATCTGTCTCTGCAGCCTGCCTACCTTCACGGCCGCCCAGTCCCTGTTTTTAAGGGTCCGTTAAAGCAAGACTATGTAATTCCCAAACCAGACAGCCAGCCTCGTTGGGTGCGTTTTTGCTGTTCACAAAATTAGCCAATCGTTGTCACCCAGCGAATTGGATTAGGTGTAATCCATACTAATGTTCCAATTAAGTCACTGAAAGCAATTAATTCTGCAAAAATGGACTGGTGAAAAACGATAAGACTGGTCAAATAGTTTCACTGCGCATAACTGTGTTTTTCAGAATGCCCATCTCTACACAGTAATTAAATCATTTACATTTCAAGTGGAGTGCGCCCACCTCAGATGCTTGTGACCGTGCCCTGTGAGGTGTTGCAGGAATTTTATCCACAGCCTGCTCTCTTGAGCACCTGATTTTTTGGGAAACCAGTTGACAGAAGGTGCCTGAATCAGGGCTTACTCCCTGCTCAGAAGAATCAAGAAATTTGAACTTTGCCCCAGTATCATCCCAAATTTGGGCCCCACCTTCCCACCTTGCCTTTCTCCCTTGTGGTGTAAAAAGCACAACTGATTTCTTAAACTGTCACCAAAATACTCGGCTGACCCAACAAGATACATTTGTCACTTCCGATCATGTCACCCCTAGCACGGACACCATCATAAGCCTCGGGGTGACTAATTCGTGGGGCCAATTGCCATCCCTCTTCACGGTTTGTGCCTTACCACTATTATTTTAACCACGGGGACGACGTCAACCAGCCCACTGACCGCACACTGGGCACTTGTGGCTTTTGGGATGTGGCTGTCTAGAAAGCTCACCCTCAAGTGACCAAGGAATGAGATGTTTCCCGACTCTAGGGAACATGAACCTGTGTTTATTCCTCAGAGCAAGAGCACTAGGCCAGTCCAGAGCAAACCCTGAGGTAAAACTGGAACCCAGTGGGGTTTTCCCTGTAAGACAACTGTTTTCCCAACAGGTAAAGTCACAACCTCACAGTCTGTACCTTTAAGGAGCACCACCTCCGCCTGTCCTCCCAATCCAGGCCTAGCGTGGCACCTGACCTTCAGTCTGCAGGAGAAATCGTAGGATTTGCTGAACTCTGGCTTCCTGACTCAAGGTGAGGCTGGACTCGTCTTTCCAGGGAGGGTCTGGGGAAGACCCCAGACTGAACTGCAGGGGCCTCCCGGGTGGCCCCACATCACATTGTCCAAAAGTGTAGGCCCACGTTCTCCAGCCGCGTATATCTGCCCTCCTGTGCGAGGCAGGGCGGCTTGAGTCCGGGGAAGGGGTCTGGGGAGGACAGGATGTAGTCGATGCTGAACTTGAGGTCCCGGGGGTGCTCCTTTCCATGGGGGGCGGGGCTGACATGGGGGTCCCGTCCCGGGGCGCCCTCGCCAGCGCTGTCCGGT